GCCCTATTTTATTCTTTTGAAAACAGAAACAAATGATGTATGGATAAAGATATCAAAGTTTGAGGAAACTTACCTCTCTGGGAAAAAAGTACGAAGCCTTTTCTAGCCGTTCCAGGTGAAACATTATGATTGATTAAGCTTCCTTGGACCTTCTTGAAGCTATGCCAATCCTCACTTTGTGCTGAAAGTTATTGAATCACTCCAACCAAGTCAAGTTGCAAGGTATATTTTTGAGTTTAGAAGATGGTGATAATGATGTTACAGAAGTTGTCCTTGTGTTTGAACAACTTCTTTATGATGTATGTGAAGTATTTGGATGGTTTTTTTGGGAAAAACTTGCAAGATTTGAGAGATTCAAAGATTTGGACTTCAAAGCTAAAAAATGGAGGTTTTATGGACAATTCTAGTTTATTTGAGAGTAAAGGGGGTTTGAGGGCTTGTCCATCTCTTTTATCTTGCAATTTATCTCTCTATTTATAGGCAAGAGGTTTAGGAGTTTGAAGTAATCATATTTTCAAGATAGCCTCTATGGTTTGGTTGAAAGTGAAAAACCATGTTGGATGAATTTTCATAGTTTCAATGTTGCAAGTACAAGCATGTTCTGAATTAGTTGGGTGAAGATGGTTTTCTCCATTCTTTTTATCTTGCTTGTAATCAAATATAACCATTACAACGCTCAATGCATTGACATTTTTCAAAAGCATGCTTTTCAAAAATGGAAGTGTTAACTTTGTGCCATTAATGGAATCATGCTTTGGACAATGCTTAAATCAAATGGACCATAGCTTAAAAGTTTGTGTAAACATTAAATTATTGTGAGATTTTCAAGTTACAAGGCCTGCAAAGAAAGATTATGCAGCATAGCATGCATATTGGATTATGTGTTCTTCACCAAAATGACTTGTAATTCAAGAATGGATGCCAAACTTCATGGCTTTGAATCTCCTAGCTCAAGTATGATAAATTCATGCTCTTGGATGTTTGGAAATCTTGAAACATTGATTACACCTTTCATGTTGACCACTTTGGTTAAATCAAATTAGAACTTGATGAAAATTGGCCAAGAAGTTAAGATAAAAACTGACCAAAACCCGTTGAAAATTTCTCTAAGTGTTTGATAAAAATGTCATGACTTCATGGACTTATATCTTCAAATCTAAGAATTTTTTGGACATCAACCCTCTAATACAAAGTTGTATAATTCATCAAGGTCTACAATTTTCATTTTGAAAGTTTTCTTTGAATCATCTTGCATCTTGGTGAAAAAATGTCATGAATTAATAAAATTATCAAGTGTAAAAACACTTAGGAAATCTCTAAGTATTGAAAACTTTGACTTTTTATGGACTTTCTTGACTTTATTTATTCTTGATGATCAAGTTTTATATTTTCAAGTATCTTGATGAATCTTGATCTTTGAAATTCAATGTTTATCAAAAAGTCAAAGTTTGACTTTTTGTGTATCAGTTGACTTTTCATCAGTTGATCAATTTTCAACTATTAATCCATTGATCTTGAGAAATGATTTGAGCCATAAAATTAGGTCAAGATATTGTGTTTGAATTCTTTGGTGAGAAATGTCTTGAGAAAAGAGAGGGCAAATTTTGGGGTACAACAATCGTCTACCAATGAAGGAAGGTTATTCTCCTATAAAGCAGAAGGTTCGTTGTATGCATCCCGAGATGTCTGAAAAGATCAAAGTTGGTGTCATGAAGAAGTTCAATGCAGGTTTCTTATCTGTTAAGTCCTATCCTCAGTGGGTTGCAAATGTGGTGTTGATACCTAAGAAGGACGATAAGGTGGGTATGTGTATAGACTACAGGGATTTGAATAGGGCAAGCCCTAAAGATGACTTTTCGCTTCCGCATATTAATGTTTTGGTTGACAACACCGCTCAACATAAAGTATTTTACTTCATATATGGTTTCTCTGGTTATAATCAAATCAATGCGGCACCTGAAGACGTGGACAAGACTTCTTTTGTCACACAGTGGGGCACTTTCTGTTACAAAGTTATGCCTTTTGGTTTGAAGAACGCCGGTGCAACATATCAGCGTGCTATGGTAGCTTTGTTCCATGATATGATCCATCATGAGATAGAGGTTTACGTTGATGACATGATAGCCATGTCTCATACTGAAGAAAAAAATCTCGACCACTTGTACAAGCTGTTTGAGAGATTGAAGAAGTACAAGTTGAGGTTGAATCCAAACAGGTGCACCTTTGGGGTAAAATCCGGTAAACTCCTAGGTTTCGTCGTTAGTGGTAAAGGTATTGAAGTTGATCCTGCCAAGGTTAAAATCATTCAAGAAATTCCAGCTCCCTGTACTAAGAAGGAAGTGAGAGGTTTCTTGGGACGATTGAACTACATTTCCAGATTTATTTCCCATTTGACCGCTACTTATGAGCCAATCTTCAAGTTACTGAAAAAAGATCAAGTAGTGAAGTGGAACTATGATTGTCAGATAGCCTTCGACAAAATCAAGGAGTACCTCTAAGAACCTCCAATTATGATGCCACCGGTTGAAGGAAGACCTCTGATCATATACTTGATAGTATTAGAGAACTCAATGGGGTATGTATTGGAGCATCATGACGAGTCTGGTCGAAAAGAGCATGCAATATACTACCTTAGCAAAAAGTTTACCGACTGTGAACCAAGATACTCACTACTCGAGAAAACTTGTTATGCTTTGGAATGGACTACTCGCCGAATAAGACAATATATGTTGACTCATACTACTTTGTTGATCTCTAATATGGATCCAATAAAATACATATTCGAGAAACCCGCTCTCTCCAAAAGAATAGCAAGATGGAAAATGGTCTTGATAGAATACGACATTCAATACACTACTCATAAGGCAATCAAAGGAAGTGTGCTGATAGATCATTTGGCTCATCAAGATATAGATGACTATCCGTCTATGAATTTTGAGTTCCCTAATGAGAATATCATGTTTGTTACTAATTATGAAGAACCTAGACCATATGAAGGACCTGAACCGAGATAATGGAATTGGTGATGTGATTGTCTCTCCCAAGAGTTGTCATACGCCATTCACTGTCGGATTATGTTTTAACTGTACCAACAATATGGCCGAGTAAGAAGCATGCGTCATGGGTATAAAAATTGCCATCGATATGAGAATTAAATTCTTGAATGTATATGGGGACTCAACCCTAGTGATCCGTCAGATTAAGGGAGAATGGGACACGGAGCATCCAAATCTTATTCCTTATCGAGAGCATGTGTTGACATTAATTATATACTATGAAGAAATCACTTTTGAACACATTTCACGAGAAGAGAATTAATTGGAAGACGCACTAGCTATCATGTCTTCTATGTTCAAAGTCATATGGGATAATAAAGCTCCTCGAATTACTATTGAGAGACTAGACAAAGCTGCACATTACTACGAAGTTGATACTAATGGAGTAGAGGAAAAGCCTTGGTACTACGAAGTAAAAAGATATCTCAAAACTCAAGAGTATCCTGAAGGGGCATCTATCAATGATACGAAATTTCCAGGGAGGTTCTCTGCCAAGTTCTTTCTGAGTAACTAAATCTTGTACAAGCGCAACCACGATTCGACTTTGCTTCGTTGTGTAGACAAGAAGGAAGCTGAGAAAATTATGGAAGATATACATGAAGGTGTCTTTGGTACTCATTCTAGTGGACATATAATGGCTAAGAAGATTCTGAGAGCAGGTTATTATTTATCTACCATGGAAACTGATTGCCATCGTCATTCCAGAACATGCCACAAATGCCAGATTTATGTTGACAAAGTACATGTGCCTCAGGTTCCTTTGAATGTCTTGATTTCTCATTGGCCGTTTGCAATGTGGGGCATTGATATGATTGGAGAGATTAAGCCTACTGCTTCCAATGGGCATCGTTTCATCCTTGCCTCTATTGATTACCTCACGAAGTGGGTAGAGGCAGCCTCGTTGGCTTCCGTTGCCAAGAATGTTTTGGCTCGATTCGTTAAATATAATCTTACTTATCGATATGTCATCTCTGAAAGGATCATAATAGACAATGGTACAAATCTTAACAATACTATGATCGCGGAACTCTGCATGCAGTTTAAGATTAAGCATCACAATTCTTCTCGGTATCGATAAAAGATGAATGGCACAGTGGAAGCCGCCAACAAGAATATCAAGAAGATCTTGCAGAAGATGACAATGACATACAAAGATTGGCATGAGATGCTACCATTTTCTCTTTATGGTTACCGCACTTCAGTACGTACATCAACTGGAGTAACCCGGTTCTCTCTAGTCTACAGTATGGTGGATGTATTACCTGTTGAAGTCCAGATTCCTTCCCTAAGGATTATGAAAGATACAACTTTAGATGAAGACGAATAGATTCATACTCGACTTGAGCATATAAATTTTTTTGATGAAAAAGGTTTGTGGTTGTTTGTCATGGTTAAATATATCAGAAACGCATGATCTAGGCTTTTAACTAGAAAGTCAGATATCAGGTGTACTAGGCTGGTGATTTGGTAATAAAGCGCATTATCTTACCATAAGGTGATCCCAGGGGTAAATGGAATCCCACATACGAAGGGCCATTTGTGATAAAAAAGATATTTTTTGGCGGTGCTGATACTTACCACCATGGACGATGAAGATTTTCTACACCCTTTGAACGCGAATATAGTAAAAAAATACTACGCATGAAAGAGACCCGCTAGGTTGACAAGCCTAGGCAAAAATAAGGGTATCCCGATGAATCAAAAGGGTTCGGGCAAAAATTATGGTGTCATACCCCAAATTTTCCCTACCCGTATCTTATATTTAGGGTTATTTCTAAAATACATCGTATTGTTTAATTTTTATTTCTGCAGGGGTGTAAAACATAAACAAACAGAGGCAAAGGGAGGTTATAGTGACGGAAGAGGATGACAGTAAGGAAAGGAAAAATAATTACAGAAAAAATGTAGAAACAGTCGCGTCTTCCTCCTCTTCTCCGGCCAGGCATGTCACCAGCGGCCAACACGTACACCACGCACCGTAAATCTCCCTCCGATTGGATCCATAGTCATGAACCTCCAACCGCACAGCAATCGCCACACACCCCAAGCCGGCACCACCGCACCATCCCTGTCAAAACTGCAACGGAGATATCTCGACGCGCCAAAGCAAGTCGGAATCGCGACAACCACCACGTGTGCCTCAGTTGCTCTGCCGCGAGCTCAGTTGTGACCGCTCCTAAGAGCACCGGGCTTCCAACTTGACAACACGTGTCCTCTGTACAAACTTTTACTCTTATGCTTATTTATTCATTTTTTTATTTTTTTTGTTGCCACGTGTCAATTTGTTGTTGGAGGATGGGAATTAAGAGAGAAAAAATCAAAAGAAGATACACTTTCTGAGGAGATGCACCGCCCCAAGTTTGCTACTTGTTGTGTTTCACATTGTGTTTTTTTTTGTTGTTCTCTTCTCTAATTAGACTTTAGAGTTAGGACAAATCAATATTGGGCCAGAGTTTAGGCTTATTAATTGCGTATCCTCGATCGTACTCGCACCTCCTTTGTTTTTTTTATTAATTGATTGTACTCGCACCTCCTTTGTTTTTTTATTAATTTATTCCCTCTTGTAATTAACGTTTATTTAATTTGATTTAATTATTTAAGTTAGTTATTTAATTTAATTTATCAAATTTAGCAAAAATGCAAAAAATATAATAATCAAATTCAAGAACATTTTCAAAAAGGATTAAATAGCATCGTCTTTGAATCAAACTATGAACTGCGTCTATTATTATTCAGTTTACAACTCAGACATAGTTCAAGGTTAATTCGAAAGCAATTCTACGCAATCCATAAAAAATATCAACCAGCCGCGAACTACGAAATGGGAATCTAATTCAAACCTATTTAAAATCGTGGCGAGTTCCCCTATTTAAAATTCAAACATTTTCTCTATTAACATAAAAACTCTATTTTCTAAACATCGCGCTTCTAAACCTAGTATCCTTGTGAACAAGGTAGATGAGGGATGCCTAACACCTTATATATATATATATATATATATATATATATATATATATATATATATATATATATATATATATATATATATATATATATATATATATATAATTGTACATCCGCCAAGTCGAAAACCTGAAAAGGCGGCTCAGACAAAAAAGGATATTCCGATGGACTGAAAACTCGAAAGGACAGTCCAGGAAAAAGTTAGGGATTAAAGCGTACGACTATGTCCCGTTGGATCAATCATCTTCTTCCAACAACAAGTGATGAGATACTTGAAAATCTAGGGGCAATAACAAAGTTAAAACTCGATGGCATCGTTTCCACATAGTTGTTTACCCCTTTTTCAATTTTTACGACGATTTCCTCTTACTAGGGTTTCTGTCTTCTGATATAAAATTGTCTGTTTATAGGCAAACTTTCAGAATCAATGCAATTAAATATATTTCAAAATTCAAAATTATTTTTACTTTCTATGTTTTGTTTGCAAAAACGTTCAGTGATTACGTCGAATGAACATATGCATTTAAATATGATTACTGTTTACAGAACATATGAGTGAAAACAGGATTAGCATTTACTAAAGACCATAGGAGTTGGGGTAATGTTCAAAGGTTGTCCATAAATTCCCACAAAGCAATCTCCATGGAACTATCTCTATAGATCTATCTTCACAAGATCATCCCCAATAGAGATATATTCCCCAACAAGTCTAATATGCTCTCAGACAGAAATTGGGGCATCTTCTAGCAGTTCACCTCCATATCCCTGATGAATAGCTTGACATGATCATATTTCCCAATAGGTCCTCTAGCGGATAAGGAAGTTTGATCATTTCCCCAACAAACAGTCGAAACTTCCTCAGTGCAACCTATGAATTTCCAATCCTCATCAGAGATTAATTCCTCAATGTAGTCTACATGATTTAATTTTGCAATGGAATTTATTTCTCCAATACTACAAATTCCCCGACAAAATTCTCTTCTCCAGCAAAATGTCATTCAATGTTGTCCTCCCCAGAAGAGCTGATACCCATATCTGAAACCTAGTCAGATAGCGCATCAGAGGAATATTCGTCTCTTTTATCTCCAGTCAGGGTACATAAGAATCAAATCCTTCAATAAAAAATAACGACGAACAACCGACTCTCCTTGAATGCTTCTATCCCAAAGCAAAAGTCAAACATCCCCAGTGGAGTGTTCTCAAATAGAAAGCGGAAATCCCCAGTAAAGTCGTTCTAAACAAAAATTGAAGAATTACTTTCTTCATCCCCAGCAACAGTCAGGGATTTATTTACCCCAGCTAGACGTTGTTATAAGAAGCTACCGATACGCTCCAATGATATATTGCATCCATACATCACTTATAAAATATCATAACATATGCATAAGAAACGCATATAATATTATCATTTATTTTGAGAGCATCATTACGCAATGCATTACATACATCATGACATTGCATAAAACTAACTTTGCCTTTTCAGGTTAGTTCCCAAACAGATAGATATTGTCAACTGTTTATCATTTTTCAAATACAATCAGACAGTGAATCATTCTGACAAATACATCTTTCAAATACAATCAGTCGAAGATTCACTCTAGATTCTCTTCTAGATATAGTTCAGATACGCTAGAGATATAAATTTATTCTGATACTCATTCCAGTACATCTTATAGATACAGTTCACATACGATTGGGATATAGATTCATTCTGATACTCATTCCAGTACATCTTCTAGATACAGTTCAAATACCATCGAGATATAGATTCATTCTGATACTCATTCTAGTACATCTTCTAGATACAATTCAGATACGATCGAGATATAGATCATTCTAATACTTATTCCAGTACATCTTTCAGATACAGCTCAGATACGATCGAGATATAGATTCATTCTGATACTCATTCCAGTACATCTTCTAGATACAATTCAAATACGATCAAGATATAGATTCATTCTGATACTCATTCCAATACATTGTTCAAATACAGTCGGGTGAAGACTCATTCTGATCTACTTCTGGATACATTCGGGCGTAGACTCATTCCAATACATTGTTGAGATACAGTCAGGTGAAGACTCATTCTGATCTACTTCTACATACAGTTGGGCGTAGACTCATTTTAGTACATTTTTCAGATACAATCGGCCAAAGACTTATTCTGATCCACTGTTGGATAGGGTCGAACGTAGACTAATTTCAACATAATTTTTCATATACAGTCGGGCGAAGACTCATTGTGATCCACTTCTAGATACAGTCGAGCGTAGACTCATTCCAATACATTTTTAGCTACAGTCGGGCGAAGACTCATTCTAATCCACTTCTGGATATAGTCAGACGTAGACTCATTCCAATACATTTTTCAGATAAAGTCAAGCGAGACTCATTCTGATCCACTTCTGGATACAGTCGAGCATAAACTCATTTCAATACATTGTTCAGATACAAATGGGAGAAGAATCATTCTGATCCATTTCTAGATACAGTCGGGCGTAGACTCATTCTAGTACATTTTTCAGATACAGTCGGGTGAAGACTCATTCTGATCCACTTCTGGATACAGTCAGGCGTAGAATCATTCTAATACATTGTTCAGATACAATCAAGCGAAGACCTATTGTGATCCATTTTTAGATACAGTCGGGCATATACTCATTCTAATATATTTTTCAGATACAGTCGGGCGAGGACTCATTCTTATCCACCTTTAGATACAGTCGAGCGTAGACTCATTCTAATCCTTTTTTAGATATGGTCGGGCATAGACTCATTATGATACTTCTGTCAACAGTTATCTAAGAATATAGTTACTTTAGATGGCATCTATAAGCCCATCTCCAACGGCATCCCGTCACCTTTTCCAAATGGCATCTTTAAGCCCATTCCTGATACAATCAACCAATAGTGTTACTTCGTGCATCCGCAAGTGCAAATTTCCGGAAACCTATAAGTATTCAATCCTCTTCCACCTTCAGATCACGAAAGGCAAGCATGCCAATCTAACTCTTCAGATTTAAGAATATTGAACAGGGGAAGCTGTTGTACCCAAAATTTTTCCGTCCCATTCTTAATACAAATTGGTTCAAGATACCTCCTCATGCTCATAAAGGTCTTAAACACTCAAGACTTATCAAGGATTGATCAGATGGACTCACCTCCTAAGAAACTAACCTACAACTAGGGTTTTGCTTTTCTCAAAGAAAATTGAGTTTCTAATGCCTCAAGTGGATTTCATGGTTTCTCATATGCTTCAAAGAATCCTCATACCAAATTTCAAGCCTTGCAGTACAAGTCAGCTTATCCAATTGATCAGATAATTGAAAATTAATTGTATTGGGCAAATAGTCAACTTTGATCAATCTACAGTCAAACTTCAAGATCTTTTTGTCATTAACATTTTTAAGTCACATTCATAATTTGATCAAGGGTTAATCGTGATTCATTAAAAAAACTCAAGATTCATCAAAAGTCAAAAGTTGCTAAATTAGAGTTTTCTTAAGGAGAAGTCAACTGAACTTTGACCAAGCACAACTTTTGCATACTTTATCAGAAATTCCTCAACCAAAGCTCATTTTGAAGGAAACTCAATTCTCTACAATTTTTTCTCCATAAGCCTAAGGCCAAAAAGGCTTCATTTGAGAGATATAGGTCAAAACATTACAGGTCATTTCGAAAGTCAACAAAAACACATCTTTTGTTAAAGCAATTTACAAAAAGATAAAGACTTCAAATGAAAAAATGATCAACATGAAAGTTGTAGGAGACATATTAAGGTTTCCAAAAAGTCAAGGATCACCTTTATATTACAAAAAATGTGAAAGTTATGAGTTGTGCAAGTTGAGTAATTTTTGAGAAATGCATGAAACCTCAATTGAGCAATTTTGAATTTTTGAGCTAGTGGGCCTAATTTTTGAAGTCTAAACATGCTTATAACATGTTATAGGACCTATAAGTCCATTGGTGCATGACCATGATTTTTAATTCTATTTATTTCAATTTTTATTTAATTTTTGCAAAAGAATTAAATCAAAATATCAAATAAATAGATTAAAGCATGGATGGACTTCGATTGGATCATTCAAGGGCCCAAAAAACCTTACTAAACATGCAAAGAAAACGTTTGGAACCAAGAAGGAGAGAAATCTTCAAGGTTTGGAAAGTTTTAGAAATCATTTTGGAAACAAATCATGCTTTGAACACACAAGATTTTTTCCACTTTTGTTAACCTA